TAGCTGGAGTATGCATCCATGAAGCTCAACAACTCGTGCTCAGCCATGGAGTCTACTAGTTGGTCAATCCTTGGGAGTGGAAAGCTATCCTTCGGGTAAGCTTTGTTGAGGTTAGTGAAATCAATATATACCCTCCATTTTCCATTGTGTTCTTCACTAAAATCGGGTCGGAGACCCACCTCGGATAGGTGGCCTCCCTGATAAAGTCATTTCGGATGAGCTTCTGAACTTTTTCCTTCAGGGTCTCATACCTCTTAGGGTTAAAGGCTCTTCTTTTGTCTGTCCGAGGCAAACTTATGATCAATTTTCAAGTGGTGACAACTAACCTTGGGGTCTATGCCTAGCATGTCATCATGCCTCCAAGCAAAGACATCAAGGTTCCTACTTAGAAAATCATTGATCTTTATTTTTCAAATTGTTGGACAAGCCTTTGCCTACTTTCAACAATTTGGATTGGTCTCGGGGATCCACCGAGAAGCTCTCAAGTTCCTCAACTGGGGATGCTTGTGATTCGTATTCAATTATGCGGGGGTAAATCTCATCGATGACCAATACTTCTGGAATGGGTGGTGCGTCGATCATTTCCACATCTTCCAGTTTAGAGGGAGCATCACCTGGGACATCAGCTATGACTATGTCGGCGATAATCACATGGACGTCCCGGGGCTCTACCTTTCTGATAGAGCTTAGATAACACTCTCTTAAGCCTCTTTGGTCGCCTCTCACCGTTGCCACCTCATTTTTTGTTGGGAATTTCATGTATAGGTGGTGGATAGAGGTGACGGCTTCCAATTCCTTTAGAGCTAGCCTACCCAATACTCCGTGGTAGGTCGATCGACTATCAACTATGAGAAACTCCATGAAGTTCATTGTAGTTTGGGGAGACTCCCCCATCTCCATTGCAAGGTGATCTTTCCTTTCGGAGTTATGCTATCTCCGGTAAATCCGTACAAGGAAGTGGAGGTGGGCGTCAACTCATGGTCCAGTATCACCTTATCAAAGCTGGACTTGAATAGAATGTTGGCAGAGCTATCGTTGTCAACTAAGATTCGTTTGAGCCCATTCTAGGCTATGACCACTCTCACCACAAGTGCATCACAGTGGGGGTAGTGAACTCCTTCAGCGTCCTCCTGGGTGAAGACAATAGGTGGAACTTGATTCCTCCGGGGAGATGTGGTCCACAATATAGCTGGTCAGCGGGGGGTGCTTAGCCTCATGGGCGTAATTCCTTTTAGCGTTCCATTTTTCACCGCCCACATATGGGCTTCCAAATATGGTATCCACCTCGTGGATAGGGGCCTCATCCTTAGTTTGTCAATTTCTTCGGTGTCTGCACCTTTCCTTGGGCCTCTCTGCATCGTGTTCCCTTCATCACGGGGAAGCATCCCTTTGACGGGGAGCGGCCTTTTCACGCCCAGGTCGGTTGTCATACCTAGGTGGGGGCCTATTCACCTGGAGCAATTTATTTCTATCCCTGGGGGGTTCTTGCCGGGTACGGTGAGCATAGTCTCGACAATTTTCTGTGTCGTGGCCACAGGCCCGATGGTATATGCAGTATCCGAGAAGGTTCGAATTTGACATATTTCTAGGTCTTGAACCCTGGCCTCGGCCTTTTCCCCTGTGGGATCCTTGCGGAGTTTCCATCTGCTGGGTGTTAGTGACTGGGTTGATATCCTCATATGCCAAGGTAGGAACTGCGTTCAGAGTGGTGGTGGCAAGTGCTTGCCCAGAACTCTCATTACCGGCTTGGTTCATTTGGTAATACATCAAGTGGGAGGTCGGCCCTCTAACACACTGTCTTTGCGGAGGTGGGAGGCCTCTACTTGCCCTGTTTTTATGCTCAATCAATTCTTCATTGATGATCTCCCGTCTCATCATATCGAGTAGGACGTCATAGGTGGTGGGGTCTTGATTTTGCACGTCCCTCCAAAACAGGATATTCATGTTCAGGCCTTCTCTTAGTGCAAATAACGCCTCACGGTCGGTGACTTGCACATAGTACGTCATCTCATCACTGAAGCGTGATAGGAAGCTCTTCAGGGACTCCCCATGTGCTTGTCTCATATCTTGGAGATGTTGAATATGAGTCTTTCCCTCTTTGCTCATAGCGAACCTCTTCAAAAAGGTGGTCTTGAATTCGAGCCAACTTCTTATGCTCCCAGATGGTAACCTACTATACCAAATTTTAGCTGATCCACTAAGTGTTAAGTGGAAAGCTCTGCATTTCACAGCTGGGGTGGCGCCTCTTAAGCTCATGTGAGTTTTGTAAGCATTCAGGTGTTTCTCTGGGTCGCCTCTTCCGTCATACTTTGGTATCTTGGGCATAACGTAGTGGTTTGGGACCTGGATATTCCTTAGTTCCTTTGAGAATGGCAGGTTTTCATCATCATCGTCCAAGTCACAGGACCTCTGCTGCTCATCTGAATCGTTTTCATTGGCCTCATACCTTGGAGGTTGGTGAGAGGTTCCAGGATAGTTCCTAGCCTCCTCTTCCCTCATTTGGTGCCTATTTCTAGGCAGTGTAGCACGGGGGGTATTTTCATGTTTCTTCCGGCTGTTGAGGCATTGGAGGTGGGGGTTGTGGCCTTGTCTAAGGTTCGCGAGGCTGTTGTTGCCTAGGCCTCAGTTCTGTAGGGTTGATTCTATCAAACACTACCTGACCTCCTATGTCTTCGTTCTTGCTCATATGGAGGTGGGAAGTTATCATGGTTCAAAGGGGCCTCGGTGGGTTGCCCAGAAGCATAGTTGGAAGAAACATCAACTTCCACTTCTCTTTTAAATGGGCTTCTACCTCGACTATAGTCCGGCGAGGCAATCCTCTGACTTTGAACTTTATCTTTTTGCTTGTAGTGCCCTTGGGGGGCATATGGAGGAATAGAGAAGCTTTCCTGACCTTGCATTTGGGTCATGAGTTCCCTCATAGCCATGTTCTGACTAGCAATGCTCCTCATGTTGGCTGCCATGGTAGCCATTTATTTTGATAGCCGGCTTGTCACTCGCATTCCACCTCTTTTATGGCAGTGGTGGAGTCGGTGCCGAGCTGCTGGGGCAGCTGCTGGAGGGGGCGCACGTGCGTTTTCTCTCACCCTTCTGGGGGTGTATCTTCGTTTGAACTCATTTTCTTTGTTTGACCTTCAGATTTTTACCAAGTTGTAGACCTTCCTCTTGTTCTTTTTCAAAAATAAATCCTTTTTCAAGGGAGATGCCCAAATGTTCCCCTTCAATAAGCTTTCACCACAAGAGTGTTTGTGGTTATTGTATGGATTCCCACAGACAGCGTCAATCTGTTGACCCCAAAAAATGTTGCCAACAGATGCCGGACCCACCCGCACACACGTGAGTGAAAGTCCAACACGCTAAGACATGTGGACGGTTTAAAATAGACAAATCAAGGGCGTGGGAGTAGCTCAACGGTGCGGGATGGGAACGTTCGGAATCCGGCGGGATGTTTGTAGACCGATTTTACAATAATTACCAATCGATATTTGTAAATGTGTATCTAAGTATGTATGAACTCGTTTGTGTTGCAAGATAATAAGAAAGAGAGAATTGAGTAAAATATGATTTCTTGTATTGATTCTTGCATTAGCCTTTGTATAGGGTACATGGGGGAGTATTTATAGTGTCATAAGTTAGATCGCGACATTTGATTCGAGGTACACGTGGTCTCATCTGATTAATTTACATATCAAATTGTAGGCATCAGCCGCACCTAGCCTACTATACATTTATTGATTGGCAGAGCCGCCTCTACTAGTGACAAGACTTAACATTTACCCTCACGACAAACGTTCTATCAATCATTCAAGTAAGATCTTTGGGCAGATGATCTCTTGGGAGAAGTGTCTGTGGAAGATGCTGCTTTGTGATTCGGAGGCTGCTACCTCGGCTACAGAGCTTCGGCCAGCAGGGCCTCATCCACCTTCAAAGGGTTTCAGCATATGGGCTTGGAAGCTCCTTAAGAGGTAATAATAGATGGGCCTGAGTATATATGAGCCTAGGCTTCTGTGGACCTCGGTTTGTGGGCCTTGGCTATGCAAATCACCTTGGCTTGAGTGCCACGTGGTTCGGCATGAGTTGGCTGTGAGCCTCGGTGGGTTGTCTAACTGTGCAAACACGTAACCGATTCATATCCCTTTGTACTTTATATCCGTGGATTTATGTATTTTTCCGTTTTGATGCATTTTACATTTGACAAAACGATGAATGTAAATATAATGTATGCCAAGGCTGTGTTTGATGCATTATAATGTATAATGCATTTTACATTTTACATCTATAATGAATGTAAATATAATGCTACGCCTACGCGTGGTTTTATGTACATTTTAGATCCAAAAAAGTATAGCAATATAATTACAATAATCAACTTGAGAATACGACTTAATTGGGTGTTTTTTCTTGCACAATCGAATTGTGTATGGTTAAGATCTTGCTCAAGATTCTGACGAATATTAATTAAGAAGAAGGTTCTGAAGAACCATTAAGATTTTAGTTAGAATCAATGAAGTTCATATATGACTTTTCTTTAAATTAAAATTCTTCATTCCTCGTACTCTTTTTCAACCACACACTCACACAATAAAATATTTTGGACATAAATTCGAAAATTTTCCTTATTTTTTAACCATATTCGTTTAGCTACCAGCATCCGTTTCCCCAGTCTCCGCTCATCCAGTATTCTGAATAAAGAGTGGGGGTACTTGGGGACAAATTGTAGAGGCAAGAATAATCTAATTTGCGCAAGAGGCTCAAAACCCACAAGAAGGCCAGCAAATAAGCCCAAACGAAACACGATATCCAACTTGCAAATACTCGAAAGATAGCCTAAACCACCTTTTGCTATCAAAATTTAATTCGAATTCTAGACTTAAAGTTGGGGAGAGTTTCTAGCAAAATTTGATTTTGATCAAGAAACTAACGACAAATACTTCCAACAAGATTGTTGATGTGAGAACGAAACTTTTTCATGTAACGCAATAATTTTGAGGCAACTCCTCTAACGCAACGCAATAGTTTCATTGAACAATTTGCTTGATATTATACTTGAAATAGACAGCCCACGTCCCTAAACAAAACTACAATATCAAAAGGATAAAGATATTTGTACAAAATCTTGTTGACAAAATGACTGCCTTTGGAGCCATTAATCTTTCATAAACTTGCAACTCGGCTATTCAGCCAAGAACCAACCCGTCCCGGATAGCTGCGGCAACATCTCGACAGAAGGATAATATTATGGTCCCTAATGACAGCACCTGTGCCATAGTTAGTTATTAACCCCAGTTGAAACTATTGCACCTGTATTCGATACCAAAATGTTCACCTGATCTCCGGTTGTCTCTACTCCATTCGATCCCAGCTTCAGGTGGATATCCGTATCCCGGCGGTGGTTGTGGAGGTGGGTACCCACCATAAGACGGTGGTGGTGGGTACTCGTACCCTGGTGGGTAATGCTCTATAGCCTGGTCAAACGGATAAGGAGGATATACTCCTCCTGGGGGTGGAGGAGGATACGCAAAGCTGGGACCCACAGCCGGATATGCTATAAAAGGTTCCTCGTCAAGTTTAGGGGCGCCAGAAACAGGTGCTGGTGGAGCCGCCACTGCACCGGTAAACTTATATGAAAAAGTTATTTGACCTTTAGGTTGACCATTAGGTTTCCTCACTTGGTAACTCACAAATTGCTGCTGCTTTCCACAGTTACCGGCGGGGTCCAGAGATTCAAGAAGGTCGTTAATGGGGACATGGACTTCGCCAATATCTTTATCGCCTAACGCACGTTCACAAACAAGCATGAAATCAAGAGTCAGAAGATTCTTCCGGAGCGCCGCCTCTTCCACCGTGAATTTTATAGGAGAATTCCATGCGGGGTGGGTGTCGCCGTCTCTGTCCACCGGCGTCTTCGTCGTCTGCTTTGATTTTTTGTCCCCACCTGAGAGTGAAACCACCACGTACACGCCCATCTTCGTTATGAGGTTCACCTTGTTGAGATCTTTACCATATATAGAGTTAATTTCCAACGTGCGATGATCCATAACGATAATTAATGAAAAGACACACAGTTTTTGTTTAGTATTTGGTAGAGTTGAGGAGTTTTAGAGAGAGAAATGGCAAATGATGAATCAAACTGTCCACGGGGAACGAACAAATTTATGTTGGTTTTAAACACGTTTCGAGGCGTTACCTGGTGGCTTCATTTATCTGAGATAAGAAGTAATCATGGTTAAGTTAAGGCCTTAAGGTTTTACGTTCTTATATAGGTTAATTATTGCATTTATCATTTTACTTCTCGTCAAGTTAATTACGCGTTGCCAAATTTACAAAGTCTTTCTCGATGGTCAATCAACTTCAAATTTTATTAACCTTTAATCATTCGTTAGGCTTCCATTTCATATTGTTTACAGACATATCAACGTAAATAACAAAATTCGTATGGTTAACAAAGCATTATTAAAAATGGCATTTTTCAAAACAAAATGACGTGTTTTGTAACACTTCAAACTAAAATCTCCAAATTCACAAGAATTAGTTGGCTTCACACAACAACTCCTTGTAACGCGTGAACGAATGTGCGCTAAATTGGTGAAATGAAATCAGATGAACAAATAAAGTAATATCGATAAAATAAAAAAATAAAAAAATTCGATGACATTATAACAAATCGTTAGAAAGTTCAATAACTAATGAAATAATAAGCATCCTTACAATTCACAGTAACAAAATGTTTCCACGTGCTTAGAAGTTGCAAAGACAAGTTTGATAATTCATCGTTGATTAAGATGCAAGTCTAATTGTTAAATAGGATTTTTTTTTATTTTTCCAACCATGAAGCAGTCAAATGAGCTATGGTATCTTCTAGAATCGTATTTTGACCAAACTGAGTTCTCAAAAGACTAGGAATTTGCAAATGAAACTATTATTTATGGAGCAGTCAAATGAGCTATGGTATCTCGTTATTGCTCATTGCCTATTTACTTGTCATTTAGAAAATTTGTACACCCAAAAATTGAGTTTATGTTGTCATAATTTAAGGCTAAACATATATCCCATAACACTCTGTCTTCATTCACTAGAAGCATTGCCTGAAATATGTTTTAATTACAATATTGCCCAAAATATCGCTAGTGACATTAGGTAAATCATAAATTGAAGTCATCGAACCTCTTAGAAAAGTATTTCGTTGATGATTTAAAGTAATGTATCCATAATTTTTTTTTTTCTCAAGTCGAGTTGCTTCCAATTAGAAAGAATTTCTTATTAACAAAACTTTTAGTTTGAGAGTCCGTCCATTTCACCATTATAGAATTTTCGCCATGAAGAAGAAGTAACAAAGAATAAGAATTACAAGACTGACTTTCTCAAGCCTCTGCAACCTTAAAATCCAAAATCTCACCGCATACATATTTTTTGGTCAAAAATCTTTGACATGAACCAGAAATGAAATTGTAAGATGAAACAAATCCCATGTAATACCAACTACCATTTTTTATTTTTATTTTTTCGCAATTTTAATAAAATCTTCTACCATCTTGACAGTGTCCTTTTTACCTAAACTACTGTCATTCCTGAGCACATTATGAAGGAATGCAGCAAGCAATTATAGGAATGTCACAAATCTTAAATGCTAAGGTTTCAAAATCTCTGACCAGCCAAACGTATTACCTATCCATATTACATATCACACCTAGAAATCAAGTCATTACTCATATTCCTATGTCACTGTCCTCTTTTATTAACACACCTAATTGAGACAAAACAAAAACCCAATCAAGATAGAACCAAGTACTCTACTTTTCCATTGTTTTGCACATGATACAGTTGATCAGATGATGCACTAATATCGTAATCTATACCCTCAAAAAAAGAAAAAAAAAAATGGTAAAGTTGGCTTGCATGGGCCAGCCATTGGGCGACTGGCAATCTAGCCTATTATAGTGTATCTATCCTTCTGTGTATATATGTATGAGTATCTATTGATCCATTGCCAATGGCAGATACTTCTTGATCGGATAAAAATCAAGAAGTATGGGATAAAAATCAAAGGTCCCCCCCGTAATAACACTGATTTCTTCAGAATGACTAAGCCTCATCTCCAAGAGTTTGGCTAAATTTGTTGCAAGCAAAACCTATATCCACTTATCCACGGATGCAGTAGCCACAGATTACTGTCACATGAGAACATATAAAAATTTCAGCATGAAGGAACCAAGAAATGCACTTTAACTGAGTTTTCTGTTTGAACTACAAAGCAGGAAAAACTGACTAGCATCCACTTCCTCGGCCTCAACGTAGCAGTATTCTTCTCCCATATCCCATTTATCGGTGTTCAAAATTTCAGATTAAAGCATGATTTCTCACCTTTGGAGAGTTCAGTTTCTTTCGGGGACCTTATGAACTTTAACACTTGCACTGTCTACTGTGGCATTTACATGTCCAGGCTAGCGAGATAACAATTATGATGTGCTCACCATACAAATCTCATTTCCCACAACCGAGGTCATTTTCCCAACGTCTGTCATACTTGGTAGAGAGGGTTGAATAATATTCAATAATATTAAATAAGGGAAAAAAAGTGAAAATCTTTTGTCATACCACTCAGTCTATTGAAACTGCTCCCTCAATTCCCTATTGCAGAACCTGAATTTTCCGATCGCCACAGTTAAGCATACCATTTTCAGCTTCTTAAATCTGGAAATCCACAGTATTGTTGGGAAACTCATTAAGGGCGACCACACAACAGGCAAACTCCGAAAGTCTAGATGCTCTGTTCACTTAACTACAGGAATTTTTACTTTTCCGCCGATTTGCAGTTAAAAATCCATTCGCCAGAGCTTCAAGTGCTCGGACAGTTGGAGGCCGGTTCCTAGTGCTATGCCTTCGAATATTCATGCTAGGCTTCTGCTCATAACTAGATTCAATGGCAGAGGAATTTTTTGATTCTGTTGCTAAGAAAACATTCTCCAAGTCCGGGGGAACTTGTGGAAAATTAAGGTCAATCGATGTCTGAGTTTGCGGGTTCTCCACAGGGGCTTCTGCTGCATCAATATTTCTATTAGGAGTACACTCAACGCTACCAATGGGACTACCTTTTGGGGAACTGGTGGATGACAACTTATCTTGAGAAGAACCAACTTCAATCGATATGCACTCAGAAAATTCATGAATGCCAGAGAAGCAACTAGAAATCTTATTTTCTGATCTAGGAACCCTCAAGGAATGAATCGAGCCATTTCTTGTTTCCTCACAACTACAAGCAGTTAGTACCCTCTGCCGTTTCATGATGGGAGCAATAATGTCTACATTTTCTTGTTTCTGCTTCCGGCTCAAGCGGGAGTTTACCACCTCCCTCGATTGTTTGTCCTCGTGTAAATATTTTTTTTTTTCTTCAAGCTACTCAATAACATATTATCATCATCAGGACTACTGGTATGGATATCTTGGCATGGGGCATTAACGTAGTGATCTTTCCTACCAGGAAGCATTTCCCCGTTGAATTTCGTTGTCTGGATAGTGGCATCATGATCTGTCTCTCCAGAATCAACATGCATGGTATTGACACTATCAGATTCATCAATGTTCTTATCAGTGCTTTTCTCATCACTAACTTTGGAACAGTTTCGCGAAGTCAACATGTAGGAAATTTCAAATGGAAGGCTTCTCAATTCTTTAAATTTACAAGGTTTCCCATTAGTGAGACTGGTAACTACAACCGTAAATTTCATAATTTCACTATTGCGATTCGGAGTTCGGGGTTGAAGATAACAATGGCGTTGCCTTGTAGGCAGATCATGATCATCTTGTTCTTTGTTACCATTGTCTTCTCCTGCTTCAAGCTCAAGAAGCCCAGGTTCTTTGGCAACTTTGCTCAAGACGTCACTCACAGAATCAAAATATTGGTCTCCTTTCACTAGTTTCCTTCTTGAGAATTTTCTGACACCAGGAATTAGAAAAACTGATGCGGACATCACTTATATTATTATCGCACTATTTTACTTTTTCTAGTTATTGGGCTTGTATTATTGGTTTGGTCCAAACCCATCACTGGTAGGGTTATGCTTTTACTATTTATATGGTTTTCAGTTGTAATTTCAGGAGACGATGATTAATTAGAATTGAAATATTGTTTGGCTTGCAGCCGTTTTCTCCCTCCCCTCTCTTTCCCTGATTTCTTCTCCTCTTCTCCCTACTCTCTGTTTCTCCTCCCCGTTTCTTCTTCTTCTCCCCTGGTTTCTTAACTTCTTCCTGGCTACTTCTTCTTATTGAAATCCTTCAATCTATCCTACATCAAATTTGGTATCAGAGCCTAAACTTGGGTAATCTCTCATCTCCAAAGTGATCAAAAATATTTTCGATGCGATCGTAGGAATAGGGATCAGATTCGTAAGCGAGAACGAGATAATTTTGAAATTTTTACTCAATGGAATGCCCTTAAATAAGGAAATCAATTAGTGACTGAGTATATCGCGCAATTTGAGGAATTTCGAACCAAATGTCATTTAATTGAGGATGAAAGCATGACTTTGAGTAGGTTTAGCCAAGGTCTGAGAGATGATCTTAAGCGCGAGCTTTCCCTTCGAGGTGTCACTACTCTTGATCACGCTTATTCTTTAGCTCGAGATTTTGAGTTGATTATTAGTACTCCATATGAAAAGCGTGGTCATCGTCGTTCACCCATCTCATTAGCGTCGCCTCATCATAAGTCTATCATAAAACCTTCTCCGTCTAATGTTCCTCCTGTTTGGAAAAATAATTGTAAAGGTCGTGATAGTCCAAGATCTTCTTCTTCATGTAGAAAGCGTAATGGCAATCATCTTTCGATTTCATTGGCTCCACTTCCTCCTGTTAAGTCCCTTCTAGGACCTCCCCCGTATAATGTGGCTCCACTTCCTCCTGTTAAGTCCCTTCTAGGACCTCCTCCGTCTAATGTTCCTCAAATTTTGGAAAATAAGGGTATAATTTGTGAAACTCCAAAGACTTCTCATTTGCTATGTATCAACTGTAAGGATTTTGGCCACATCTCTTCCAAATGTCCTAACGGAGCTTTAGTCATAGAAGAACGAAAGAATGCAATAGAAAAGTCGTTAGAAGATCTAGCATATGGCCGTAAACTTGAAGATTTTGATGATTATAGTGAGTACACTTCCTTAAGTGGAATCCCGACCCTTCCCGAGACTTTAGAAACTATACCCCTTGTTTCCGACAACTCTCGATCACATGTTATATGTCATACCCTTACCCAACTTAAAGAGTTTGATGATTTCACTAGTCACCCTTGGAAAATCCAGTCGCTTGTTGTTAGCACTAAATCGAAATTCTCCACTACTGACCAACCTCAAACTGATGGTCAAATCGAAATTGCTAACCGAAGTCTTGACAATTTATTACAGTCTCTAGTACAGAAAAATCTTGAAAATTGGGACTCGATCCCCTCAACTGTTCACATCGCATATAACAATTCTGTGAATCGGTCTCTAGGTCTAAATCCATTTGAAGTTGTTCATAGTTATAAGTCTAGGCGACCGTTAGAACTTATTCCCATGTCCCCGCATGCTAGTGTGTTGTTGTCAGCTGAAGCATTTGTATATCATCTTCATGACTTGCATATTGAGATCAATAAACAACATGACGCAAGTAATGCATTATATAAACTTCAAGCTGATTCGCATAAACAATATTTTGAATTTAATATTGGGGATTATGTCATATTGCAAGCTTGTAGTGTTGGTCCTTTAAAAATTTTAAAGCATATTGGTTCAAATACACATGTCATTGCCCTTTCATCACATTTTAGCCACCACTCTACTTTAAATATTGAGGACTTCATTACTTACAAATACCGTATTACTTCCTTTGATGATCAATTTCTACCTAACTTTGTGAACCCCCAATTTGATTATATTGATATTTCTACTTTAATACCAACTATCACAGCACACAAAAATAAAATTGATGTTATTTTAGATGAACGTGTTGTATTGACCAATGATGGCAAAATTCAGTACTTTCTTGTTTGTTGGGTAAATCGACGTACTTCTTATGCTCTTCATTATGTACAATCATGTGAAAATGTTGAAGATGAGGTGCATGAGTATTGGTTATTTGAAGTCCAGTATCAGTACTTGGTTAGAAGGAAAGATCGGTCCCCTTGGTCAGATCATATTTTTGGGAATAAGCTATAGTTTTCAGTGCTATCAATTATGGAATTTCGTTACTTGATTCGTCAGAAAGATCGTCCCCCGTGGCTTGACTTGAAGCATTTGGAGTATCAGATTGACTGCAGCCTATACTATCTATCAACTCGACAGGGTCGAGTTTTTCTCCCATCCCGGGAGAGTTGATGAGGATATCGGACGACGTTTACTTATTTTATTTAAGCTTTATTTATTTTCTTGGACTATTATTTAAATTTGGACTTGTATGGGCTCGGGCCCAAGCTCGTTAGGGTTGCTTTACTATTTAAACCTATTTTGCATTCTAATTTTCAGTTGATGATGAATGAATAATTATTTTGGTGGCTTATGGCGCATCTCTTCCCTTCTTCTATTGAATTCTTCTTCTATCCCCTCCCTTAATTCCCCATTCTTTCTGAATCTTTCTTCTGTTTCTATTAATCATCCTGTTGGTGCTGCATCAAAAACCAAACCATGCTTCAAACCAACAATAAAGGTTTGATCTTTAGGTTTCTCTGAATGCCAACCTCTTGCCAGTAAACGAGGCCAAACTGCTTCCCAGAATAGATCATTTGAGCGAGCTTTGCTCAATTCGTAATCTCCCGTTAGAAACTTGATAACTTCGCTGGTTGTAAGGGACGACCATGCTTGGACTGTTGGTATTTTTGGGCGCATAGCAACAACTTGATTGGACCTTGAAGTTTCCAAGGCCATTCTCGTGAGATCTTGCTTTCCTTTACCAATGGCACTTGCTTGTACAAGAACTTTCATCCCAACCATGGCCTTCAAAGAGGATATGTAGTCTTGTAGTGACAATTTCCCTTCCCCAAATGACTTCGAGATCTGCCAAGAAATTGAAATGCGGTGGTGATTCAACATTTGTCTGCAGTTTCTAGTAGATGTTATAATAGAAACTTGGGAATACAATTCTCTAGACGATTAAGCATAAATTATTTAGAGGTCGATAAGAAAAACTAGTTGATGCATATTTGATTTCGAATAGCTTCAATTTTCTACCAAGTTGTCTCTTACAAAACAACATGAAATTTGACTTGGACAAGACGACTTTGCTATCTCTCTGTGCGTGTGGTTGTCTATCAGAGCAAAGAGGTTGGTTGTCAACAATCGTTGTTATACTTAATTCACAAAATTTAGTATGCTTGAGGCAAATCTTTTTCCCTCACCGCAAGTAGTATATGCAGAAATAATTCTTTCAAGTACCTCCAGTAGAGCACTTTGACATTCTTTTGACATGCTAGGAAGTATACGAGACATTAATTCCTGTTGCCTCAAACCAGAAAATATCTTCTGCCTATATAAACACCTTTTGTTTGTCATCTTTCGGCCTTCTGACCATCTACGATAGTCCTCGGAACCATAAAATTTCCCATAATAAAATGACAATATAGAACCGATCTCTTTACTTTCAATGACTTGCCTAAGCCGAACAAAGTTCTTCTCAAAGATGTACAAACCAAGAAGGAAGCTATCTTTCTCGATGTAACTCCAATAATCACTAGGTAATCCGGGAGTCAAAAAGTAGCCTCGGTCGCTGGATTGGTGGAATTTGTCTTCAGTTGGTAAATTTTCTGATTCCTTGATACTATTAACTTCTGAAGATCTTAAATCTGAAGCAATATTTGGTTCTTCCCATGTGTCTTGCTTCATGCACCCACCTCGAGGATTGATCCACACTACTGGCATGGGCAACCCAATAAAGAAGTAATAGTGAGAATGAACTCCAATCTGTGCATCTGTTGAATTCCTTGGGTATGAAATATAGAGGGACTTTTCAGTAGATGGTGGAATTTCAAGTTGATAATCATCTCCAATTCGAGGAAGGATATCTGGCTCTCCAAAGTCATCACATGCATCAGAAGAGTCTAAGGGAAGTAAATGCTCAACTGACATTTTATCAACACAATCTCCATTTTGATCTAAGCTAACAGAAGCCATCTGCCAAAGAAATTAACTAATTTTCTGAATAAATATACCATTGACTTCATACAGGCAATCAAATGGTTAACAATAAAAAGTGTCAAACCAAATTCGATGGGATTTTATGTTCTGAGGATCGCCCATAAAATAATTCAAATGAAAAAAAAAAAGAAGAACAAGAAGAACAAGAACTTAAATCTCAAATGATTGCTCAAATTAAACTCCAATCCAGTGCCTTGTATAGGAAGTCAAAACTCAAATAGCCACAGATGATAAATAAGCATAGGATAATTAGAATAGAGAGCATATGCAGCTTAAGATGTTGGGACAACAGCAACCCAAGATTACTTTCATGACCTATACAATGTCTTAAAACAGAAAGTATATGTGATATTACTTTTTTAGCATTGTACCATATAGAAACTGCCGAATGATTAAACAATTTGTAATTAATCTTCACAGCACGGTAAATGAGTTTTATCTCACATGTAGATTATAGTTATGGTAGCGTCCCTCTTTTCTACTATGGGGATTCCATCCATTTGAAATATGCATATTGTTTTTGCAAATGCAGTCGATATAGTTCCAGTTTACTGTTTTACAATTCACCCTACCAATGTCAATGTCTAACTATTACAATGCATAATCCCCTTCATATAGGGCTTAAAATTAAATTACTAACCATTACAATGCAGAGTCCCCCTTTATATAGGTTTAAAATAATCTAAATTAAGTAGAAAAATAAAACTTAAATTCTACTGAAACGTTTATATCTGGTGATTGAAGATGATGGTGCTTTTGGAGATGAAAATGGCGGTGGTGGATGGAATGCGATAGGATATTGTCGGCGTGGCTGA